TTGCTCTTTTTTAAAAAAAAAAATCAAATAAATTATTAATATTTAATTATTTTTTTTCATTGCAGAGGACATATTATCGGGAAGAGGATGACAGTCGTGTGTATAAAATTTGGAGATTACATTGTCGGAACCATTTCCGAGACAAGCTTCATCGAGCTCAAAAGGCGTGGGTCAAGGACAAGAAGTTGCCCAAATTCATGCATAAGGATACCTTTAAAATTTTGTTGGCAAAATGGAGGAGTCCAAAATATATTGCACTCCAGGAAAGAGGTCGGCAAAACCGAGCAAAGGGTGACCGTGTGACCCACACAACTGATTGCCTTTCTATTGGGATCCATGAGGATCGATTGGTTAGTAGGATATACTTATATATATACATATATAAATTATTTTTGTTTACAATAAAAATGGAAATGTTATTGATTTTATTGATGTTTTAATAGGCAGCTAAAAGAGGAGGAGTTAAGCCGACACCTTTAGAGTCATACTTGTTGACTCACACGACTCGCCGACCTGATGCTCCAAAAGATGCCCCACCCACTTGGATATGTCCACAGGCTGAGCAGACATATGTAAGAATCTGATTCTTTTATGATATTAATTTTATTTATTTTTAATGTCATATTGCCCTAAAAGAAGAAAAGTGATACAATTTTTTATCCATTGTATTCAGTAAATGATTATTTTTCATTTGATTTCCCATTATCATTTGAAATTGCTAACTAATGAAAATTTTATTTTTGAAACAGCATGATGCTCACCAAAAATATGTGGAGAAGCATAGGCCAAACAAGGATTCATGGCCAAAATGGGATTCACTTATCTAGAAGGAGGTGGTTGGACCTCCTAAAAAGGGTCAGATGAGAGGGATGTCTACATTACATGATTTAGCAGAGCATGGCATCCCTTGGCGACGGTATGACATGAGTGACGCCTCCTTTTCTACCACCAGGATTCTTACGACACAGGTTCAGTAGTTGCAGTCTGAGCTTACTCAAGTTCGGGAAGAAATGGCTGAGCGAGTTCAGATAGAGGTGGCCGCACATATTCATACAAAGGTATCACAAAGAGTATCAGAGATGGAGGCCAACTTTGAGAGGAGATTCCAAGAGCACATGCGCTTACTTAGCTAGCAATATTCTATGAATGCTACACAATCCCAGACTAATTATCCTTCTTCTGCACCACCCCAGACTGCTGATCCTTCTTTTGAAGGATTTAGACCTAATCACTTACCACTTCATACTTAGAGACATTGATATTTGAAACTTATATTATATATGTTTATATATATGTACTGCATATATATATATGGTATGTAGGATGAGAAGTTAATATATATTTTATTAACTTAAATTAGTTTTTAGTTATGTAGTATTTGAGTTTAAATAAGTAAAATATATAATATTAATAAAATTTAACAATCCTATAGTAAAAAAAAATAATTACAATATAATATTTT